TTACCATTTTCTTTGTCGAACCAATGTGGTTTGACCAGTCCGATTTTCCGACACCTCGGTGGCACAAATTGGCTACACGGTGAATTTATTCCATTTTTTATAACTGATCAGCAAGTTTCAACAGATGCAGATTCCAACAGAAACCAATCCACTTAACTCGTGACTCGAGTCAGCCTGTTGAAATCCGTCTTCCAGTAGTTGTAATTTGGCTGCAATCTGTGTGACTGCTGTAGTGGTAGCTCCATGTTGGCAATAAGAACTGAGTGGTCGCTTGCTGCCAGAGGCTCCAGAATCCGAATGTCATACACAGGTTGTTCACAGCTGGTTAACATCAAGTCTAAGCACGATGGAGTTGAGCGCGGTGTTATGCGCGTCGGTTGGCAGATGTGCTGTGCTGCCCCAGTTTCAAGTACCATATCAGCGAACTTTGCTTCGACCTCACAATAACCGGTGATAAGTTTAACTTCAGGCCAGCGTATTCGCGAACAATTGAAATCGTCTCTGAATAGCAAATGACGGCGAGTCATGTAGTCTCGGAGGTGCGGCAGACAATCCAAACAGCGGTTCAGGGGACTGCGATAGATTGCACACACGAGTAGCTCTCCGCGCCTGAGAGTGATCAAGCAACACAGCTGCTCACATAGGCCATCTTCGCTTCGGTGGACGCTCACGAGTCTCTCACACGGAGTCCAGATGTAGAGCAAGACGCCATTGTGGGTGTTCGATAGCCTATTACGCCAGAAGCACCAGTAGCCACTAAGCTCTACTTCCTTAGTGAGTACTTCAACATTCAACCACGTCTCTGCGAGTCCCATCACATCTGGTCGCTCGAAAGCAACGAAACGACACAGCTCATCGCGCTTGTTCATAAGAATGCAGACGTTGTTAAAAGCTAAACGCAGGCTGTGGTAAGGACTACCGGGCGAGCCTGAAGCGAGAGCAACGGATTTCAATAAAGCAAGAAGAAACAACATTTTAACAGAATTTACTGAATTCAGCAATTTCGCGTATTCTCGTCAGCTGTTTACATACAGTTAGTGGAAAACAGTGCGATGTTAAGAGCAAAAAATTCAAAGCGGTCGAAGGTCCTTAGGCTCACGTGACCCGTTCCGAGGAAAACGCAATCACTAGCCTCACCAGGGAAGGGCTAGCGTGGTCACGAAATCCGTTTGCTTGCACAGATTTGGCTTCAGCCGCCGAATTGCTGCCGCCTCCGCAAACTGTAGTAAGCGGGGATTAGCTTGTTTGCTAACTACCCTGAAATTGCCACGTGGGTTTTGGCATTCAGGGCAGTCAAGTATGTGGCGGGCAATAGAGCTAGTCGGTAGCTTCGGACCCTTAGCGATCATGTTTCGCGGAACATGCTCTGCAATCCTCGCTGACAGCCTTCTCTCAGTTCGGCCTATGTACTTGCTACCGCAAGTACAATTAAAGAGGTAAATGCATGAGGCGGTAACTTGAGAGTCCGGTCTGTCCAGGTTGGATTTACAGAGCAACCTTCTGACTTGATGCAATACCACTAGCTCAGCCGCATGGTAACACTTCTTAATTGATTGACGGAGGCGATGCCGGCATCTTCGGTCAACTTGATCTCCTTTGAACGGCAGTGTAATGAATACTTTTTTCTTCGGGACATCGGTTGGTGGTTTATCTCCGGATCGTATTTTCGCGTGCCGAGCTATAAATCGCGCTGGATACCCATTCTCTTGTAGTGTCAAGGTGACTCGTTCTAGTTCACGTTCGATTGTGTCTAATGAGCAAATTTGACGAGCTCTAGCAAAAGTGGTACGTACTAAAGCTCGTTTATAGTTCATTGGGCAAAAGCTATTAAAGTTCAAGTATTGTCCCGTCCATGTTGCTTTTCTGTACACAGATCGGACGAGTGTACCATCTGGCTTTCTCTGTAAGTTAACATCTAAGAAGTGGAAAGATCCGTCGGACTCGTTTTCCATTGTGAACTTGATGGCTGGATGGCACATATTCATCAGTTTCAATAAGTGCGCCGCCTGTTGAGGTGTGTCAACGACGATGAATGTGTCGTCTACATACCGGCAATAAAGGTGTACATTTTGTAGGTAAGAAGCTAACACAGTGTTTTCCAAGTGGCCGAGGAAGATATCAGCCAAAACTGGGCCCAATGGGCTGCCCATGGCCACGCCGTCGATTTGTCGATACAGGGTTCCATTGAACCGGAACTGAATATCTTTTGTGCATAGGCGCAGTAATGATTTGAGCTGGAGCGCTGGGAACCCGACTTTGTCAGCGTGTCTGGCTATTATATCTAGTGTTTCCTCCAAAGGGACGTTCGTGAACAATGAAGATACATCGAAAGAAACCATGTGCTTTCCCTTTACATTTAAATTACTTATCTTGTTGACAAATTCAAAAGTGTCTCTTAGACTGTAGCTCGTCAGTTCCCTCCGGATGGGCTCGATAAGTTTCGCTAGCCATCGCGCTAATTTTTGGTATGGTGTGTCTACCATTGAGACGATTGGACGTATTGGGACACCTTCCTTATGAGTTTTCGGTAAGCCATACATGTGGGGAAGTCGTGATCCCCGGGGGCGTAACTGGGTCATCGTTTTGGCATCCATCAATCCGGCCTTCACTAGCTTCTTCAATTCACGGACTATTAACTTCTCCATCTGCTCGGTTTTGTCTCGGTTTGTTAAATCACGAACAAAACGATTAGAATCCGCAAGAATTGATTGGACTTTCTGAATGTAGTGTTGCTTTTCCAAAATCACAACTCCTGATCCCTTGTCGGGTCTCAGTATTACGAGATTTGCATTTCACCGCGCGAAAGTACGATCCGGAGATAAACCACCAACCGATGTCCCAAAGAAAAAAGTATTCATTACACTGCCCTTCAAAGGAGATCAAGTTGACCAAAAATGCCGGCATCGCCTCCGTCAATCAATTAAGAAGTGTTACCATGCGTTGAGCTAGTGGTATTGCATCAAGTCAGAAAGTTGCTCTGGAAATCCAGCCTGGATAGACCGGACTCTCAAGTTACCGCCTCATGCATTTACCTCTCTAATTGCACTTGCGCTAGTAAGTACATATGTCGAACTGAGATAAGGATGTCAGCGAGGATTGCAGAGCATGTTCCGCGAAACATGATCGCTAAGGGTCCGAGGCTACCGACTAGCTCTATTGCCCGCCACATACTTGACTGCCCTGTATGCCAGAACCTAAGTGATAATTTCAGGGTAGTTAGCAAACAGGCTAATCCCCGTTTACTACAGTTTGCGGAGGCGGCAGCAATTCGGCGGCTGAAGCCAAATCTATGCAAGCAAACGGATTTCGTGACCACGCTAGCCCTACCCTGGTGAGGCTAGTGATTGTGTTTTCCTCGGAACAGGTCAAGTGAGCCTAAAGACCTTCGACTGCTTTGAATTTTTGCTATTAACATCGCACTGTTTTCCACTCACTGTATGTAAACAGCTGATGAGAATACGCGAAATTGCTGAATTCAGTAAATTCTGTTGAAATGTTGTTTCTTCTTGCTTTATTGAAATTTTTGTAGGGAAATGCCTGCATGAAGCAACGGATTTATCCGAATTTGCGATCGTGTGGTAATCAGCCGACAATTTACCATACGTAGGTTTGTTTCTCCCTCACCAGTTTGCTGCTTTTGCTCGATGATAGCACACTTGAGACGCTCCCGGTCAGCTGGGTCAATATCCGGACCAATATGCACCCTATTATCACCTCTCAATCTACCCAGCTGAGACATTCTTATCTTCGGATTTGCCTGGTCAGCAAAACTTACTCGCATAGGTCGGTCTTTCTCAGCAGTCTTTTTGCCGTGGCTGATGACTTCACTCTCACTTCGTCCTCACTCACTTCGAGGAGCCTATCAACCAGGCTCTGTAGAAACTCTTCATCATGATCATTGTGTACCTACGGACTTGGATTGTTGGAATCCGACGCATGGAAAAGCATCAGGTTTAATCACCTCTTGTCATTCAAACTGGTTCCTGTGGGAGAAGGGTGGACTCGAACGTTGCTTGATCTGGCCTGTTATTGGTCAGTAGAAGGAAGCTTTTATTCGTTTCGCTACTTTTTCTGCCGTTGAGTTTTTCACGGTTCCTCATGCATTGGACATTCATCTGCGTCATTAGAGCTACCAGAACACATAGGCAGGGGATCCATAGCCTCAGTTGGTGTCGCGTCTACGGAACCATTAGGATAGAGAGATAATGAGTTGTCAAAGCGCGTTGAATAGGAGGAAGGCTGCATTGAACCTTGTATGGACTCTAGGCCGTTACGGGGCGATAAGTCCAGAACTGCTCACACTTAAACGTTTTTGGTTGCGACTTGCATCCGTAGATGATATACCTTTCTCCATTTATATTTACATTTGTTGTACAAAATCATGTAAGAGCATTTGCCGTGTTTCCAACAATTTTCGAGCAGGAACCATAAGGGCATTTTGGAAAAATGATGCAAAAATGCCTTAACGTGGGAAAGTGAAATTTGCAAAACGGAACTACGAAATTTGCAGGAAGATACCACACAAAATATGATCCAGAAATTGCAAACTCCGAAATCGAATTGAATGATTCCAAAATTCCCACAAAATAACTCCAATATATGCCGTCAAATCCACAAGAGAGTATCCTGACAAAGGTCACCGGTTTGCATGTGCGTAGTTGCGGGCTAGCGCATGACTCTAGTGGCGGTCACTTGGTGGCGTAACGTTTGTGCGCCCTGCACCGGCGTACTGTTTATATCTTTTTCCTCTTTGTTTTGATGCTGTGTTGGCAATCAATTATGAGCGGTTGCCTACTTTCTGGACGATCGAACCACTTTAGCTTTTGGGAGTCGCACCACCATCGCACTACGTATTTTTGTCGGTTGTTCTACATCCGATTTGTCACACAATACCTTCCATACTCGAAGCATCGTTCACATATCCCTGTATTGTCTTTCGTACAGCACTGTAATCTTTGCATTATACCCATCTTTATCGATTCTATCACCCACTCTTATAGATCTGGTCACTGTTTGTGAGACTGCCGCCGAACCTCCAAACGAAGAGCCCGGACACATCAACTCTGCTCAGCGCCTCGCACTGGAAGCAACTTACATAAACACTAATCTGGCGCAACAAATGCTATTAATGGTATGACACCTCTGATTCGCATTGATTCCATCTTTTCATACACATTTCGAGTCACTTTTTGGTTTTTTTTCCTTAATACTCACCAACCCTTCTCGCTAACTATTACTGTTCACATACATGAGCGATTAGATCGGCCTTTGCTTTTCCATTGAACACCATCTACTGGGGGTATACAAGTTTTTATCAGGAATATTTTGACAGCGTTTTTTGCCCAAAGTACTCTCAAGGTCACAGAGACCGTGTTCCACTCCATAACTCAAGATACCGCATACCCTTTGTTGCGATTTGTTGCTTTTGACCAAGAACATTTTGCCCGTTATTAAGAATTGTCCTCATAATAATCTACTCTATCGGCTGAAAAATACCCGAGGACTCTGTTTTTCAATTTACGCTCATTGCTCGAGTGACATTAGTGCATCCTTTTCTTTATCAGTTTATAACATTTTACGTTTTTCTTGATATCACTTTATATCGTTTGCAATTGGTACTTTAAGATGCTGAGACTACGTTCCTCCGCGTACTTAAAGCTTGCCTTGACCTGCCTTTAGCGCATGTTTACTATTGGCTGTCAAATATCTCAGAGATTTAAAGCAGTGAGTTCCCTGTATCCTTCCAAAGAAGACAATGAGAAGACTGATATTGCGAGATGGAACCATTTCGGGTTATCTGCTTACTCGTAAACTAACCACATAAATATGAATCAGGTGACAGAAAAATCGAAGATTTGAAACTGGTCACAAAGGGAACTTACGTAGACGCAAGAATAACAGATCAACGAGCTTGCTCAGCGTCATGAGCCCCAAGGAAGCTTTAGAGAGTGTTAATTGTTTCTTACACAAAGGGTAGGGCGATACCGGTTAAGTGCCGCAGCTTCGGCGAACCTCAAAGCTTCGGGGTTTTCATTTCAGTGGATAACTGGTTGTTGACCTAGGGTCAAACTGATTTTATGTCTCGATTAGATGTCTGGCGATAGATAATGCCGGCAACTTAGATACTTTTTCTTGTTCAGCTGCTTGTTATGTCGATAGCTTGGCAATTCGTTTTGGGATATGCTCTCCAATGCGTTTACCCAGGGATCGATCTGTTCTATCGATGTAACTACTTCGTAGTTACAAACGGGATGTAGACGCTATTGGGCCTATGCTGACCGGTTTTATTTCTCCGCACTTGAAGGTTTATCTAACCCGGTCTCATCACGTCTTCTACGTCTTCTTGTATCACTTCAGCTGTTTGCTTTTTTTCTTGTTTAGGGCACCAAATTTAAGTGTTATGGCACGAACTTGTAGGTTAAACGGAAACGGGTTAACCATTGACTAGCACAATTACTTACCACAAGGTACATGCCAAGTTAACACCAGTATACTTATATCTCTTAAAGAACCGACGTCCGGAGTACACAGACGGAGATAAAGTAGCTTACACATGACTGGTGTCCCGATGGGTACAATCCGATGTGTTGTTTCAGTAGACAACGTGTTTCTACGAGTGTCTAGCTATCCGATCTTTATTCTTTCTATTGCGACTCCCGAGGCTGTGTAAGGGTCTACGGGAAAATATCTCCTGAGCTCTCCGCGACAACTGGGGTTCACCAGAATTGTCTTATATCTCCTTTCCTCTTCATCTTCGTAATTGAAATGATCATGCACGACTGGACTCTCTTAGACTCTACTAGAGTGGAAGTTCTACCAGGGTACTGACGACATAGCTCTTCTTGGGTCTTACGCAGTGGCTATGCAAACACTACTGGATAGCTTGGTGCATAATGCCGCACGCTTAGGCATGTGCTTTACACCTTAAAGTGCAAATACCGTTGTATGGCTGGACCGACACATCTCCGGTTCTAGCTATCACCGAACAGCCACTGGAAGTGATGTATCGGTTCACTTGGTAGCTGTGTCACCTGTGGTTACTTCGCGTATCCGCAAGGCCCGTGTGACTTTCCAGAGGCTCAATCATCTGTGCAAACCGCAGAATATCAGTTAATCTGTGAAAGGTCTGAATGTATGGATCAAAGAAGTGGCCAGTTCACAATGAAGACATTAAACGTTTGGCCATGTTTGACTACCGGTGCTTGCGGAGCAGTACTCACGTCCAGTGGGAACACCAGTTGAGTAATGCTGACGTCCGCCAGTTGGTTTTTGGCAAGGAGCCTTCTGGTGACTCACTCAACTGTTTGCTGGATCTTAGTTGGCTAGGTAATGTCTTCCATATACCACTTGACCGGCTTCCTCGGCGTTGATTATACGCCGTGGCTTCACCAGTTAAGGGTGAAACCGCGAGGTAGCCAGTCCATGACGTAGTATAGTGGCTCGAAGAAATTGACAGAGGCTTAATCTGGCTGGTACGTGTAGTCTTCGTAGATGGGGGCCTCGGTACGGTCCACACCAATGGTTGGAGATCGTATCTGACATGGCGTAGTTACGCAGTCAGTTCGTTTCTGCATTCGTTTTCTTGCATCTGGTTGTTAATTTTCGTCCTATTCCATTTGGTTTAACGCAGTTTCCTCTGGCTTCCATTTTCTTTACATTCCATTTGCCTTTAGACCCATTATCTTGCTGTTGTTGTTTATGGTTATTCTTGCGATGTGAGTCGTTGCAACCGCACTTCGGTGACCGGATCATAGTTGCTCAACTGAACTGGTCTCTATTCTTGCTTTATCTTTTACTAGCCTTTTACGGCTTATGGTTATTACCATATTTTTCTCCATTGTTAGACATCTCTCTGTAAGGATCTATCCTTCGTTCGTACTAATGCACCCGGTAATTAGACGGGGAAGCAGTCGGTCCTTTGCACTTTTTCATACAAGGATACTTACAAGCCCCGGTTTCGGTTTGACGTTCATCTTGCTGTTATCTACCTTACATATCTGTTTTGCTTGGGTCTGATCAACACATCGTCTATTAGATTAAGGCGAACTTCGTTTTCTTGCATGACTCTCTAAATCATGCATCGTGGTAGCTTTCAGCAGATCCCTTCATATCGATCGCCTAGACGTGCTCTACCACTCTGCTATCACGTTCGTTTATTTGTTTAGATTTGCCCATCTCCACCTGCTTCTCCGGTGCATGGCTCCTTTTCACCAATATCCTACATCTTTCTACCGGCCAATGTCTGTTTCATTCACAATCTCTTTCTTTTTTCCATCCAGGGTGGCAAAAAGTATTCGTTTCCAGAACGCAATCCCTTCATTGATGACGATGAGGATGATGAAGATGAAGACGACAGCGATGACGATGACGAGGAGGAGGTCGATGAGGATGACGAGCAAGAAGGTGGCGATCAGTCGAAGCGCAATGGCAAGAAAAAGGACAAGAAAGACGAATTAGGCTCTGTTGGATATCGCTATCGTCTATTTGATTTGGGCAACCAGATCACTCTTGTTGTTCGATGTGAGATCAACGGCGTGCTTCCTCCGGCCACCACAGACGCGGAGCAGTCGACCCAGGCGACTCCACAGTTCGTTTGTATTCGCGCTTTGAACGAGTTTGATTCTCGAGTGAGTCACGTGAGGATCGTTAACTTGCATTGTGCTCTGCTAGCTTGTTTAGCGTGATTTGTGACAGGTATATTACCAATAGCAACATGATGTGCTGGTCGGATCACCAAATTTCCACGTGGTCTGGGTAGTAACAACTTACAGCAGTAGTTGAATGGAGGATCCGCAAGGCTGTGCTCACACGGAGGTGGAGGCGGGAGGGTGGCGCAGACGCATCATCATTATACACGTTAGCTGCAGGTGGGAACACCTGAAACAAGCACGCCGGCTGACTCACCAGTAAGGAATGGACATCGTTCCCGAGAGCCAACAGCCGGCTTTTGTGGCGCAATGAAGTCATATTATGTCTAAAGTTGCGATCGTGGTCGGAGGGGGGCAAAAAAACTCTCAACACAAACGCCATGGAGGTCGCCTCCTATCTATGTCAACAAGTATATCCAGCCAAACCTGTTCATCGTCTTTCGGTCCCCAACAAGGAGCCGAGAGGTTCCAACCGAGGCCAAATTCGAAGTAAGGGTCTTCATTACTCTTGACCAATTCATTCCTTATCCACCTCTCCTCTTCTTACATCCGCACCCCCGGCCTCGAAAACTACGCACGTCGCGGGAGTCGGTGTGCTGGCACGCGCAACACTTGGCCAAGCCACTGGAGCCTGATGCGGGAAATAACGGTGCTGAGCTGTTCGCTTCTTCTTCCTGCGTCATAAACAATGCGTCGAACACGCTCATTGCTCACACAGGCACCGGTGGTCGTATGTAACTAGCCTTTTATGTATGCTGATCTAATAGGCCAGGTTACACGGCCGTACAGTAAGGTCGAACGTATGGCTGCATTGTACACTCTGCCCTTCAGTGAGATAGTGATGTCGCGCCGGCGCCATAGTTGGCGAAGGTTGACAAAAACGCTCCGTGCTTTTACTATACGGTTTGTGACCTCTTCTCCAATGCGAACGGCGCTAATACAACTACCTAGGTCGTTGAACTTTTGAATAACTTCTGGATGATCCCCACCAAGGGTCAGAGAAGGAGGCGGTCTCTGCCAATCTTGCAAGAGAGTTTTGCGCTTCGATGGTGCAATGCATAGCCCGAAACGGGTGACAGCCAGTGCTAATCTGTCCATTGCCGCTTGGCACGTTTGGGAGCTGCGACATGCGAAAGCAATATCGTCTGCATACTCCAAGTCAAGAAGTCGTTCACCTGGGAGTAGCTCCACACCTTCTAAAAGTCGCCTTCTGTGAACGCGATTTCCATGTGTTCGTCAATAGCTAGGTTAGAGAGCAAAGGTGACAGCGGACATCCTTGTCCTACACCGCTAGAAATATTGAAGGACGGCGACAGCTTTCCGTAATCTCGTACTCTTCACGTGCTACGCGCGTAAAGCGTTCGCGTACTTCTCGGGCACACCTTAGCATACAGTCACAAAGAGCATGTCGATCCACTGAATCAAAAGCACCTTTGATGTCGTGGAACGCGACAACAGTGGACCGCCAATGTATATGACGATGCTCTAACAACTGGCGTAATGAGAATATGTGGTCGATGCATCCGCGGCCACGATGAAACCCGGCCTGCTCCTCACGAATCTGGCTTTCACGAGTGCCAGTCAGTCTTTGAAGGATTACGGGGCAAGTAATTTGGAGGCGATGAGGATCAGACTGATCCCTCTTTGGTTACCGCATTCCGAACGCGAGCCTCTTTTGTAGACCGGAACAATAACCGTGCGGCTGCAGTCGGTTGGGACGGTTTCCTGCTCCCACAGTTTCACTAGTAACTCATATAAATAAGAAACAAGAGCAGGTCCGCTGAATTTGAAGAGGGCTGAATGAAGATCATCAGGTTGCGCGGCTTTATTTAACTTCAACAGTCCGATCTCACGTTTGACTTCTGAGCGAGAAGATAGATCCAAAGGGATCGCCCAGGGAGCATGGAGATCAGTGGCCGGCGAGAAATCTTACAATTCCAGTCGTTAGCATTGCTCTTCAAAATGCTCAGTCCAACGCTCCAAACATGTTGACAAGTTGTGGATAGGCTGTCCACTCTCGTCACATATAGTTTTCACTACCACCAGTTCTCCTGCTGCCCGTTTTCCGTATCAGACGTAACAACTTCCGATGGTTATCAAGGGCAGCGGCCACTTTCATCTCTGAGGCACAAAGAGAGCACCGGGATTTGCGGTCTCTTCAAGCTAGCACAGAGTTTTGCCTTGATGTCTTTGCGAGTCCAGCTGTGTTCGCTTCCAACCGGAATGTGCCGGCGAGCATCGAGAAGTTTCAAAGATTGCGAAGAGACCCAATGTCTATTTTGGTTAGTGGATTTACCATATAATGATTTACCTGCCTCTAGTAAGGTCTGGTGAACATGCGACCAGTGACGTTTAATTGTATACAGTAAGCGCTTGCTCAACTTGAACACCATCGTACTTCGATACGCATTTAAAACATCTGGCTTCGCCAGTTGGCTGGTGTCTATGAGCTCACAGGGGCGTCGATGGCGACCGCCAAAACATATCCGTAGATCAGCACATACAAGTGCATGGTCAGTGTCCACATATGTGCTCCAAATTGAGCGACAGTTTTGGATGCAGCCTCTTCAGAGATAACTGATCGCAACGTGATCGAGTTACGTCCATGACTGGTCCGAGGCTGGTGGACGCCATGTAACCTTCCGACGGGTGTGTGTCGGAAGTTAGTGATCGCAAGAAATAAGCGGGCATCTTCACACAAATGAAGTAACCGCTCACCCTTATCACTGGGGAACCTACACCATCTTGGCCGCCCATTTGCAATTCATCAGTGGATACTTTCTCAACTTGTGCGTTCAGGTCCCCATCAAGCACTACAGTGTCCGAGCTCCTTATGTGGCGAAGGAGCTCTTTCAGTTGACGATAGAAGTCGTCCTTTACTGAGTCATTGCTACAGTTTGTAGGAGCATAGGCAGCGATGACAAACACATACGCATTAGCCCCGCGCGATTTCTAAGTTTTGAACGAGCCAGTCAGTCGGACCGCACACATCCGGCTACTGATTGGGATCCAATCGACCAGAGCAGCTTCAGTCCGGGGACTTAAAGCAATACCAACACCGGCTTGGTCGGCACTCGAAGCTGCATCGTCGCCATATATGCTCAATGAGAAAGCACTGCTAGGGTCACCTAAAGGGGATGGCATAGTGAGCACAGAGCTTAGGTCTTGTAGGCGGGTTTCCGATAGGCAGCAGATATCGATCGAGAGGATCTCTACTTTTCGGGCAGGTGCTGCCTGTTGACCGATCTATACCAATGTGCGTACGTTGAGGCATGCTAATCTGAGGATCGGGGCCTCCAAATAGAAGCCAATGAACTGGGCTTGACCGCTTAGTTAGACATGGGCGTGTCGATAGGACAGGAATGACGCTCCGCGTTTGCATGTGAATTGAACCCAGAAGACAAACGCCCATCTAAGCATGGTGGGGGTGGGCCAAGAATTGGGGGGTTGAAAACAGCTGGGATAAAAGTGAACGATAAGGATGAGAAGGCGTAAGAAGGGGAATAAGAAGGCGGGAAGGTTTGAACAGTAGTATCCAAACCCCTATCCACCCTGCTCAATGCAGCAGATTGGGCATCGTTGAGTATCGTCTGCGGTGACCAGGGCATCAGGGACTTGTTTGAAGAATGGCACATTTTGTATATACACGCTGAACTCACTTTAGGCAGTCATATCCCTATTGATCTGTCCACGGAATCAAGTATGCATGAATTGATGTGCGCATTGTGAATTGACTCAGATTGTCCGAGGCTCCCTCTTTGGAGACAGTGACAAATTTTTATATGTAGTCCGTAACAATTACTTCAGTAACATATTAACTTCTTTGTATAGCAGGGGTTATGCACTTTCCTGTCTTCCGCTTTGTAAAATCACCCGTAGCAAGTAACTCGATGTAAGACTATGTGGGTCAAACGGGGAGAAAACTATCCACAAGGATACAAGAGCACAAGCGTGCATGTCAAAATCATTAGGTATCGTCACAGATCTCAGTGCATCTCGATGAGGAAGGACACAACGTTAACTGGGACAACACAGAAATTCTGGCGCATGGAGGGACAAGAAAAGGAAGAGAATTCCTCGAGGCATGGTTCTCTACGGAGAATTCAGTGAACCTCCGCATTGACCTCGATCCTGTGTACCTACAGCTGAGAAAGCGTGAAACTGGGCGGCCGAAAATCGAACAAACAGAGGTCACGGGACACAGATCGACGAGGCCAATTTCAAACGCTACGTCCCGACGACACTTTCCGTGAGATTTACCTTTAGGGAGCACTCCACTGAAGATGCCACTGTGGGAACTGGTGAAAGATTTGAAATTAAATTACTCAGCTCGGAGAACGAATCAAAACCTTAACTCGATGTAAGGCTTTGTCTTGAATGTCGTGGTCATCACTTCATTCGGCGGTCGTATTTGGCTGTATTTTGCCATCGATCTTAAAGAGTATTCGTTCGCCGTATTTTATTCATTATTTTTTATTAATCACGATCTGTGGTATAGCTAATGTGAATTCATGGCATCATTTGCAACCCGGATCGGGATTTTTAAAATAACAGGCAATTTTTTGTCCATTTTTCCACTTTTCGTTTTGAACCTTTTTTGCCATTTCTATTTAATAAGGGTGGGAAAGGGAATCACCTCTACACACAGAGGTACACGTCCGCCATTGATGTCGGTCTTGAGCCATAACTCCCAGTGTCTTCAATCAGCAGCACTCCGTATCTTTGGGACCCCAACCAGTGAGCTGCTTGGTCAACTTTTTCATGTCGCTTTTCCAAGTCGTAGGCTGTCCTCCGCGCTGCCTCCTCCAGCCCTGCCCAGCAACCGCGAACAGTGCACGACGCGGAAGGCGCTGAGCGGGCATGCGCCATACGTGACCAATCCACCTCAATTGGCGCAACAAGACAATATTCTCGCGCCAGTGGCTGGATGTAATTGGAGCTCACTGGTCTCATGCTCACCGGACCTTACTAACTTCAGG